GGTGTTTTTTGCTCGCAAAACTCATTGTTGACCATTAGACGGTCGCGCAAGAGCCATATTTTGGTGATTTTCATTGAGAAATCTAAGATTGTATCAAAATACGTCAAGACAGGCAAGAAAGCACAAGTGTTCGTAGATTTTTCGTTTCGAAAGCAATTTTTGCCATTTCACTGCAAGAATAGTGGATGGTCATCAGGGAACGAAAGTTTCTACGGAAAATGCTAAAAAGCTTGTAATTCAATTGCCATGTAAGTTAGATCGATCAAATTATGCACAGCGCTTCCTACGCTTCTCTTCTTATCGAAGACCAAAAATCATCCGATTTCATGATGTTATCGGCGATATGCGATAAATTGATTGTATCATTGATAAGTGTGGACAAAATGTCCTCAAATCCATAATATGGATTTCGCCGACTGTTTACGATGTCTGCGCAAAAGTTCAGACCCCAAACTCCATTTTGAAGTGAGTTACGAGCAGATTTAATTTTTAGGTAAGGCTAGCGGGCATATGCCCGCTTGGCGGGTATATACCCGCTCAAGGTAATTAAAGCGGGCATATGCCCGCCTAGCGGGAATATACCCGCTTTTTCTTTCCCCATTATGCGTGACGGCGCTGTGGGACAACGCGATTTTGCACAACACTTTCGATGTAGAAAGGATTTATGATTGTTTACGAAATGTAAAGTTGTTTTGTAATCAAAAACAATCAACTTCTTGGACGGCAGAGTTTACGGGTTCCGACAGTGCAAAAAAAACTGGAAAAAATACTAAATTGTGGAATACTAGACCTGGAAAGAACATGATTTTGCAAGGAGTGTGGGTCGCCGGGGGTACACATCGTCCATGGCAGCAAAAAGTGCGTGGGCTACCGGTGGTGCACATCATTGTCAATGGGTTAACCATAGTCCTTCATAAATTCTTGTTTGTTTTTATCTTCGGCTCTTGATCGCACGGGCTGGACGTACCCTCGATATCATCCCATATGTCTTCCCTCAACATGACGTGGACTACGTGGCTTGATGAGGCGCCGCCTCGCCTCGGGCTTGCGCCACGTTTGCGTGCGCATCTTCGGCGTGATGTGGCAACAAGAAGAACGTGGAGAAGCCTGCGCCACGTTGTGCTGAGCGCCACGTCGCGCCAAATGATGCGCTCGCAACGTGGCGCGAGCCCGAGGCGAGGCGGCGCCTCATCAAGCCACGTAATCCACGTCATGTTGAGGGAAGACATATGGGATGATATCGAGGGTACATTGCGGAGACCGCCCCGTCAAACTCTGTACCTGTGGCGGTCCGAGGGGCTGGGATGGTGCGGAGGGACTGGGGGCATTTGAAAAACTGAAAATTGAATTTGAGATTGAGAAAATTGTCCAGAAAAAAAAACAAAAAAACACACTCTCAAAAAATCGCAATCAGAAATGAAAAAGGTCAAAAATGGGCTTAGTCCCACTCACCTTGCTGCTGGGAGTAAAATGGGCTTTCAAGTCCATTTAAAATGGAGCCTAATTCCATTTTTATTCTAAATGGACTTTTCGCATGATTCCTTCGCAAGCGAGAGCTCAGGTGCTCAGAAAAATCACCGGAACTTCCGCAGAGCGTTTGCGGAAATTCCGCCGGGTCACCTGAAGAAGTTTCGTAAACGTGTTGCGGAAGTTCCGAAATGAGGTCCTGCGGAAGTTTCGAGGAAAGCCAACCACTCCGTTGGTTCTTTCTCATGGTGTCATATTTCCTTACTTCCTTACTTCCCTTTCTTTATCATACTTTCTTTTCTTCATGTTTAAATTTGAAGATGAAAGAAAATGCGCACTAGGCTTACATATGTTTTATTTTAGAAATCATATCATAATATTAGGTCGGTGCAAAAGTTTTGTTAATTTTTTCAATCCATCGGCAAACACGTTAGAAAGAAGATAAACAAAAGCTTGAAAATGTGTCCAATGCAGAATTTCTTTCCTCTTTCAAGCTTCATGCTTTCCAATGTGTTTCGTTGCGAGAATGACGAGATATTTGCTGAATATTACAACCACTCGTTTTCACCATGCCCAACTTCCGCTAATTCTCAAAATTTTTGTGTAAGACTTCCGGAGGAGCCCTAATAACCAGCGGATAGGGCCAACGTTTTGCCAACAGAAGCAATTTTTCGTAGCCTTACGGCTTGTCTTTTGGAATTTCTACGATTTATTTTTTGAAGGAACCAAATTTTACATTCAGCCTATTTTAACCTCGTAGAACATAAAACATCAAACACTTCAGTCACCATTCGATGCAAATTTTTTTCCTCTTTCTAACACTTGTCTTTTTTGCCGAGACAGGCGAAATTTGTGGGGAAAATCGCAGCATTTCTCAATTTCAGAAGTGCGCACTGACGTAACCTATGTTTCGAAATCTTCATAATTTGAAGCGAAAATCGCTCATTTATTTTGTAATGGTAGCGGTAGTAATAATTGAGTGTTGAAAACTGAGTATTCTGTGGTTTTGCAGTGTTTGGTGCAATAACAGGTTATGCGATTTTCCCAAAACACAAGACTTTTGGAAAATTATTTAACAAAATTCTGGAAAAGCAGCTGAAAAAAAAGAAAAAAGTTGCTTAAGTTGACAAAAGGTTTGCCTATCTGGCGGTTATTAGAGCTCCTCCGAAAGTCTTATGCAAAAATTTTTAATATCAGCGAAATATGGACATGGTAAAAACGAGTGGTTGTAATTTCCAACAAATATCTCATCATTCTCTCATCGAAGCACAATGATGGTTTAGCAGCTTGAAAGAGGAGGAACTTCTGCATCGGATACATTTTGAAGCGTTTGTTTATCTTCATTCTGTCGTGTTTGCCGATGGATTGAAAAAAATTGACAAAACTTTTGCACCGACCTAATATTATCATTTGCTTTGAACCAAATACATTAAAGACACGGCTCAAAAAAGCGGAAAAACACCGAAGACATGGCTCAAAAGAAAGCAGAAAATTGCATAACAGAATAAATTGTGCAACGAGGGTGACCATTTTAAAAGGAATTCATAGGTTTCTATTTTACTTTGGGCATCATATTCTTGTCTTCGCGAGTGAAGCCGATTTCTCCTTACTTGTTTTCTGTAATAAAAATGTAAGGTTGTGATTATTCTTGATGCAATAATCACCGTAGGAGCAATGAGATGAGAAAGTGAAACTGAGAATGAGAGTAAGATAGTAAGAGTGAGAGAGAAGAGTCGAGCAATGGGAATGAATGAGAGCAATGAGAGTGCACTAGATTTATACAGATTTTGAAGTTTGAATCAAAAGAATAAAATTACTCAGAATCCGGCATTCGCGTATTCGGTAGCCAAAAAACTAAAATATTGCGAAAAAGCTCGAAACCATCTATATATGCGCTTTGCTGAGCCTTATATAGCCAAGATTGTTAAAGTTCTTTATTAGGCTAACGTTTCTGCTTTTCGCCTTCGTCAGAGCCTAAAAGGCGAGGAGCAAATGAAAATTATCCACCAATCTCATCACATAAAGGAAAATCCAAAGCTGCATCCGACGTAGACAGCTCACCTCTTCTCCAAGCAAAGGACTGCCACCACCGATCGTAGGCGTTAAGCGATTAATGAGCGAACGTGAGTATGGATGATGGTCTTGTTTCAAAACCGCATAATTCTATAAATGGTGCGAGTTAATCCGTTATAGCGACACACTCTTCCTTCCTACTCATTTTTGGATTCCTGGCAAGAATTCATCCGGCCTCTAAAATTTTACGAGCTGCTGTTTCTGCTTCTCGCTCCAGAATCGACACCGAAATATCGAATTCTGCTTCTTCGTGGCGCAGTTTTGTGCGTGCCCAGCGGAATCGACATTCTCATGTTGCGCATTCCAACCATCTGTTCCTTCTACCCGTCTCCCCGATGTATTCATCGCTACATGCTTTACACTTTAAATACACATAACTGTACATGTACATATAGCTTTTGTGAACTACACTTTTAAGTATGAGAGGTTGGGCGAATTGGACACTTCTGTAAAAAATTACGAATTTCAAAAAAGGCCATGAGAGTGAATGAAAGAAAGCAAGATCTGAGCGAGACGACTGTAAGTGCCGAGAAGCATAAGAGAAATCATCTTCAAAACAAGGGATAGTTCTCGAAACTGCAGAGGCTCACCTATCCTCTGAACGATGATAGACAGAAATGATGTCCTTGACAGCTTTAGAGCTTATCATATCGAGCTTATCTTGCTCTCAGGTATCCGTTGTTTGCAAGTATCGCCCACGTGGCTTCCACATCTTCATGAAAGGGCTGAGGTAGCATCAAATTTGAACGGCCAAACGATATTGGACAAGCTAGCATTTTTGAAGCATGATTTTTTCTGTTGGAGAACATCTACACAAATGAGGTACGCGATAAGTAGACGCTTCAGAAGACAGTGGATATCAGACGCTTATCGGGCATTTCTAAACTCGTTGGGTTACACAGACTAGCACTTCTTTGCCGGGAGCAGCGTCTCTCGAAGAAGCATCCATACAGCTTCAGTTCGTGTTATAGTATATACAGTATACAGTACAATGTATATAACGTTTATGGTTGTTATAAGTTAAATCAGACACTGCAATCTATTTAAAACCACATACTACATCTCGTATTTCGTAAGCACTCTTGCAGGATCAGCAAACGAAGAATAAAAAAAGTTTAGGCTTTGCGAGAATACCTCAAAATTGATCCTTCATTTACATTTGTATGAAGAACTGTTGCAATTCCTTCAGTAATTTATCCAGTAATTAACAATAAATATTCAATGAGAAACCAAATATCACTTTTCGCAGTGGATATCGTGCCTACTGCGAAAGTGGTGCATCTATTTTTGAGTTTTGCAACATTTCAACTGAGTAACAAAAAAATATTGGATCTAAAGCCAGTCTAGAGGTCAAATTTTCTATTCTGGGGAAGAGTGAAAAAAGCATTAAGACGGAAATTTCCAAGGTGATTTCATATAAATATCATATAAATATCACTGATGATATTCATGCAGATTGTTTATCCAGACACAAGCATCAGCGAGCAATCCTCTTGCAAGTAATTTATAATTCCGTCAGAGGTTCGCTGATAGCCATGTCTTTCTTCTGCTTGTCCAAGTGGGCATCCGAGTTTTTGACCTAAAGTTCATTACAAATCCATAGTAAGGACATCGCATAACACTTTCACTAACCAATCGACGCATTCACGTAACGGCGGGGGTAATATTGGTTCTTCGCAAAAAATCTGAAAATCTGAGAATAAAATTCAGATGATTGCAAAATAAAAAAAATCTTTGAAAAGTTTCAGTAATCAATATTTATAGATAACATTTACAGCATCATTAAAAGTTGCCTCTTCAAGGTAAATACTTTCGATCAAAACTGTCAATCTCGAGAGAATTCGGTATTTGTGAAAGCATTTGTAAATTGTCATTATTTTCAAATTTTAGGGGGTCTCGCGCTTTCCTCTTTACTTCTTTACCTTTAAAAATTATTTTGCTAACGAGTGGCGATCAGCAAGCGGAGTGAATAATGTATTTTTGGCAAAGTCAACTTTCGCGCATCTGCTTCCAATCAAAAAGCAGTGTGTCTGAATTTGAATTAGGAATTACAAGAAGATATCAGTGGAGAAAACAGTAAGGATCAATCAGTTTGATGATCTATCTATGTAATTTGCCAACTACCTTCTTTGCAGTACCAACTCGTTATTCTGTGCATTTCTCCAGTTGTATCTTTTCCTTCAGTTTCTATTTCTGCCTCTTTTTTCGTGGGTGAGCATAAGAGAAACAACTCAAAGTCCTGCGAAAGTTTTGGCAGTCCAAAGGGCTGCGGAACCTCTGGCGTTTTTCGGAATTTCCGCAGGATTTGGAAAAGGTCGTGCGAAAGTTCCGGTTTTCAACCAGTTTGGCATGAAAACCCCACGAAAGTTCCGATTTTCAACGTTTTCATTTTTGGAATAATGAACAAAGCCCTGCGGAACATGTGCAAATTTGACTTGTCCTGCGGAAGTTCCAGTGATTTGCCTGAATAGGGTTAAATCATTTTTCATCACACCGCTTTGCCCCGTGGATGCGATGAGATGAAAATCATAACTTATAATAACGGGCTAAGGATGTTTACGTGACTTTGTGTGTGTGTGTGTGTGTGTGTGTGTGTGTGTGTGTGTGTGTGTGTGTGTGTGTGTGAGAGAGTGTGTCTGTTACGAAATTCGTGGAGCGTGTTCCAGCCAGCGTTCTAAGCCCAAATTTTGTATAGCGCATGCTACCTTCATGAAAGTCTAACATGCAAAAACACGAGTAGATTCGTTGAGTGGATCCCTCAGAAATTGCGCGCCAATCGGGTCCAACTGGCTTCTGTACCGCAGAATTCGGTCCGTATCACCACTTTTTGCAGAGTCGTGGATGAGTTTGGTAAGGAAATGTGCAAGCGATGGAGTTTAGCCCCGAAAAGTGGTCGAAAGTTTACCACATAACGAAAACGGCGCCAAAAAGAATTGGTTGTGTAAATGGTCAATTTGCCAAGGTTCTAGCTAAGCGTTTGAGAATTTTCGCACAGAGATTTAGCTCACGGTTACTATTACCTTTATGGCGACTACCAAGGCATGACAAATCCAAAAACCTATTCGAATTTGCGTTTGTCTTCCTGCGAAAACTTTCATCCACGCGAAATCACCGATCTCACGTGAAAAGACTGTCTAAATGAGTGGTTGTTTACATTTTATTCGTGGTAGTCGGCATAACGCGGTGAGTTCCAGTGCCACGATTTTACGAGAATGAGTAAGGCACATAGATAGTAGAGCCAGCGCGAGCCTCTGCGGAGCAGAGGTGACGCACTGGTTTTTATATAACGCTAGCAAAAACAGATTCCGACCACTTTCTACCGCGAACGAATCAAATGGGGTTTGTCCATTTTCCTCCGTTATGGACTTTCGTGGATATTACTCCACGGAGCACATTGCCTAGGTGCACGAATTGAGATGAGAACGCGAATCTCATGCTCCCCTGCATGCAACACACAAAGTCGCGTGGTTCACTAGTTCACAAAAATATATGGAAGATGGGAAAGTCGAGCGGCAGTAAAGATACTTGGGCGCTCCTCTGCAGTGATATAACCAAAGCAGATATTTTGCTGTCTTGAAAGAACAAAAAATACTTATTAGCAAAAATAAAGTCTACAAAGAAAAGGAGCACTTTCTCCAAATCACGGACAACCTGTTAAAGAAATGAAGACCAACATGCATAACTGAAAGATAAAGCACTTTCTTCAAGGAAAGCCGCCGTTACGCCTGACGGATGTAACTCACAATGGTGCATAAGAAAAGCCAAGTATTTTCCGCGCCCTCAGCATATATATAGAGGAAAATCGGAGATGACGTGACTCATTTTCACTACCACAACACGTGGGGTTTGGGAACACACATGTTTCTCGCAACCATTGGATAATGAGTGTGAGACATACACGTGGTAGCTTTGCCAATGAGCGGTTCTATTAGTGTCAACACCGTAGGCCTAGGCCCACCAACCACAAAAGCCCTCTCAGACACTCGCGCTGTCGACCTTGCGACGACGGCTTTCCCGCCGGCGGCCGAACCATTATTTTGGGCGGGGCCTAATCCGGCCGGCGTTCCACTGTGCAAGAACACGAGAAGCGCATGCTGCGCATACATTAGGAAATTGATTTCAAACATCTCGTGATTGAGCCTGCGGTCGTTAGCACGCTTCTCTTTACTTGTTTTCCTTTATTATTATTGTCCTTACTTCCTTTATTATCATTGTGGTATTCCATTGCAGTTGTGCTATGTTTACGTAAGTCTGAAAGGATAATAGTAATTCTTTGGGGCCACTTAGAAGTTTGGGATCCGAGTATGCAAGTTGATTTAGCTCATTTTTTCTATGATTGCGCTCTCTTTTTCAGATTTGAAGAAACTTTATGAAGCTTGTCCTCTTACTACCCTTCTCTTTCAAATACCTAGCGAGAAAGCAGATCATGAGTGAATTTAGATGCCCATTTGCTGTGAGGTGAAATTTATGTGTCGCATCACCTTTTTGGGTCGAATTAGAGAAGTACAACCAAATGTTCGCAAGTATTTCAGGAAACAGCTGCGATATACATGACCAGTGCGTCACCTCTGCTTCGCAGAGGTTTGAGCTGGCTCTACTATCTAGGCCCTACTCATTCTCGCATAATGATGGCATTGAAACTCACCGAGCAATACCGACTATCATGAACAAAATGTAAACAACTACTCATTCCGAAAGCCTTTTCATGTGAAATCGGTGATTTCGCATGTATGAAATTTTTTTGCAGGAGAACAAAGCAAAATTTTGAGCGTTTTTGATTTTTCCACAGTCTTGACAGTAGCCATAAGAGCAGTAGTCACCATAAGCTATATTTAGGTGCAAAAATCTCATCAAATGCTCTGGTAAAAGCTTGGCAAAATGACCATTTACGCAACCAATACTTTTTGGCGCCGTTTTTGTAAATTAATGGACTTTTGATCACTTTTTTGGGCCTAAGTTCATGGCTTGCACATTTACTTGCCATAAACATCCACGAGCCTGCAAAAAGTGGAATTACGGACCCAATTTTGGGGACCAAAAGCCAGGTGGGTCCGATTGACGCGCATTTTTTGAGGGATCCACACAACGGATTCGCTCATGCTTTTGTATACCGGACTCTCAATTTGGTAGCATGCGCTGTGCAAAATTTGAGCTCAGGACGTTGGCTGGAACACGCTCTACGATCGTGACAGACAGAGATTCACACACACACACACACACACACACACACACACACACACACACACACACACACACACACACACACACACACACACACACACACACACACACACACACACACACACACACACACACACACACACACACACACACACACACACACACACACACACACACACACACACACACACACACACACACACACACACACACACACACACACACACACACACACACACACACACACACACACACACACACACACACACACACACACACACACACACACACACACACACACACACACACACACACACACACACATACACACACACACACACACACACACACACACACACACACACACACACACACACACACACACACACACACACACACACACACACACACACACACACACACACACACACACACACACACACACACACACACACACACACACACACACACACACATACACACACACACACACACACACACACACAACCCTTAGCCCGTTATTATAAGTTATGATGTTTGCGCTCTTTCTTTTCTGATGGAAACACAGTGTGACTGCTGTCAGTCTCGCCGTTAATTGTAATCGAATATGGCTCCTAATGGATGCTCCTATAATATTTTTGTATATTTCTAGACTATTCCTGCTTTGCTGAGTATTCTGAAATCTATCCGAATATCGTTTATCTGCCTATTGCTAGTAGGTTGACAACGCATCTACGGGTTTGAAAGCTATCTATTCTACCGCAACCTACTAATCTGATAATCACGGTTGCTGGACGCATTCCGAAAGATGCAAGTCCTTCTTGAGTATCACATGAAACTAACTCTGCACTAATGAGGACATGTTTGGCGGTACGTTAGAGATTATGTTGAAAGTCCTCCATTCTTGTAACCTGGGCATTCTAGTATAACTTCAGTTAATCTTCTTTGCCGTACAGGTTTTTAACAATGATACACTTTATTGCCTGACATTTCGGTTACACACCGTCTTCAGAGGCCTGGAAAGGTGTCATTCACTTTGATACCACTCTACTTGCTGCCAAGCCCTTCTCCCATCTGCGTACTCGATTCATCTAGGATGAAGATCGAGAGGCTGGGCGTAGAAATCGACCCACCGAGTGTATCACTGGTAGCAGTGTTTATCTGCTTCAGAACTTGCTCTTGAGCTGCAACATCTTCAAGTGGTCCGGTAGATATTTTAGGCAAATCAGAGGGCTGGCAATGGGCCAAAGGCTAGCACCCGTATTGGCAATTTGCTTCATGAGCAAAATAGAACAACCAGTGCTAGCCAGGAGCCCGCTTATGTATTGCAGGTATATTGACGATTGTTGTATCGTTACTTCAACACAGTCCGAAATGGACGAGTGCTTTAGACTACTCAATCAACAATCGCAATACATAAGCCTAACAAGAGAAAGACCACGAGACGGTTGGCTTCCGTTCTTGAACACACAATTGATGGTGGCTAGCGGTTCGGTGCGCATCAAATGGTACCGCAAAGAGAGTAACAAGAACATCGTTCTGCACGCCAAATCCGCGCATCCGATAGCCGTCAAACGAGCTGTCATACACAACATGTTTGAAACGGCAAAGAATATCTGTAGTGGCAAAACTGAAAGAGAAGAGTCACTGGGAATTGCGGCTAAAGTAATGAATTCAAATGGTTATACGATGCACTTTAAACGCCCAAAAAGAGTCACGGCAAAGACAAGTGAGCAGACTACCAACAAGATAGCTCTGTGCTTGCCTTTCATCTCCGAAAGGGTCACTGCAGAAATCAAGCAATGTCTAGTACAAGCACAGCTGCAAAAGGACGTTCTCTTGGTGAATATTCCACGAGATAACCTCAAGAAACAGCTGGTGCGCAATAGGCTTTACGACAGAACTTGTACTACACGAGATTGCGTAGTGTGCCCTTACGGAAAACCCGGTGACTGCGCAAAAACTGGCGTCGTTTACCAAATCGAATGCATGAGCTGCTCCTCCATTTATATCGGTGAAACCGGTCGGCCACTAAGCGTAAGGATAAATGAACACCTAGCTAGTAAGAAACGTCAGAGCATAATAAGCCCACTAGGTAAACATAGGAAAGTAGAACATAGCGGTGATGATTTTGAAATCAAGTGCAAAATATTAGCCTACGAAGATCAAATCTCTTCCCGAAAGGCTTTAGAGGCGTCCTATATACTTGCCCGGGATCCGAAGATGAACGGCAAGAATGAAAAGCTGTCTATCACAAGTGATCTACTACCGTATCTTTCGTTATGCGAACTGTGAGATAGCTGATCTATACTTAAACAGCCTCACATTGTTCCGATTGCTCATTTCGTCACTGCAGTCCATCGAGCAAGTTCTGAAGCAGATAAACACTGCTACCAGTGATACACTCGGTGGGTCGATTTCTACGCCCAGCCTCTCGATCTTCATCCTAGATGAATCGAGTACGCAGATGGGAGAAGGGCTTGGCAGCAAGTAGAGTGGTATCAAAGTGAATGACACCTTTCCAGGCCTCTGAAGACGGTGTGTAACCGAAACGTCAGGCAATAAAGTGTATCATTGTTAAAAACCTGTACGGCAAAGAAGATTAACTGAAGTTATACTAGAATGCCCAGGTTACAAGAATGGAGGACTTTCAACATAATCTCTAACGTACCGCCAAACATGTCCTCATTAGTACGCGAAGCGTTAACTCTGCACTGTTTTTTAGAGATTGAAACAATCATCTATTCTAACCGTCCATTTTGAATGCTTATGTTCTTGATAGTGTTTGTTAACGGAGTTATCGCAACTCTATGCATAGAATGTAGGTTCTGATGTTGAAATTGAAATTGTCAATAGTTTGCTTCATTTACAGAATATCAAAGCCAGCCTATTATGTGTGGCATTTGAAAGTACAAAAACTAGGACATTCTGTGACCCACCGGCGCATTCAGAACTCTTGTCCGACGATCTGTGAACCTGCTGGTTCAAATGATCTTTCCATATATATATATATAGGTTGCTGACTTTATAATCAAATGTTATTTTCGTGAATTATATGACATTCTTTTCTGTCAATGTTTCTTCTATTGTGTTATAAATGTTCATGTAGACCTGTACCACCCTGTATTAAGATTACAGTGCTAAAAGCTAGAATTTAGAGAAAAAAATACAGTGGCACAGTGCCACTTCCCTGCACTGACACGTAGAGACTAACGGCCGGCTGGCGGCCGTCGCAGAAATGTCAGCGGCGGATCAGTTGGCCGTCGGGCGGCCGCCAGGTGCGAGTGTCTGAGATAGAATTGTGACTTATAGGTTAGTCGTTGGTAGCGAGTGTGAGAGTAAACACGACCCATTGCGAACAACAGAAGTACCTAATGAATTTATTTGAAAATCAGTTTCGGATAAAGATATAAACTTCAAATTAGACTACCGACGGGGCTCACAGATGGCTGCAGTTGGAAAACCAAAATGCACTGTTCGTATACAAAAGATAAAACCGAATGCCCTTTCTCTTTGCATCAATTCCGTTTGCAACTTCAATTACTTAATCCTCATCCCATTCAAAGTAGCACATTACGAAATTCGTTTAAGGTCAGAACATTTTTT